AGAGGGGCGGAGGGGGAATATGTCTCTCTGCAGAGACTCTTCTTTCAGAAGAAATTACACATTTGAAGCTGGAAATAGTCAATTAGCTGTTGGATAATAACTTCCTGCATTTTGCCAAGTTTCCAGCCCAACTCCTACCATACTTCCCCAGTTAAGCCAGTGAAGACAAGATCAGAGTTCAGACAGCCTTTCTGCTGGGAAATCAATGTCTAGTACAAACAGTTTTGTTATGGACTCTTTCACTCCATGACAAATGAGTTTCTATCATGTGCTTAAATGCAAGACATAAATCCTAAGTCCACTGGCAAAACGAAGTGAATCTCTCTGAACCCTGCACTGAGGGTGCACTAAAAGAATGGAGAAGTGCGCCGTGCAACTCTGGCTGCCTTTCCCACATATAAGCCCTGAGCTTCTTGGCATTCCCATGTTCTCTAAATCAAAGACCAGCAGACAGCGAGATGGTGGCTGCTTTGAGCAAGCCTAGATGTCTGGCCACAGAAGGAAATTTCCCCTGCATACCTTTATTCGTGTTCTTCACTGAAAACTGATGGCATCAAGGAATTCAAGTAAGCCTCACACTCACCTTCAGCAGGCAGGATGAGAAGGGCTGCTGTAGCTAGAGGACAGTGTTACTGGGAGGACAAAGTAACATACGCTAGCAGGAAATACTCCTAACAGTGCCTAAATAGGCAGAAGGTCAGAAGAACATTTTGACCACAGGAGCAAGGGCTTGGAGAAGGCTTCTCCAGAGCAGCCTCTCCCCTGTCAGTTACTGTTAAGGTGAAACTTGCTCACTGTAATCAATGCACTCTACCACGAGGCTGCTGCAAGAGGGGCTGGAAATCAGGACCCTAGGGAATCACATGTCACCTGTGTTTCTTTCTCTAGAATAAATACTAAACTGAACTTCAGCAGTAAGTGCTATTTAGGAGTTACTATAATCCCAATCTAATCAATCTATTTTTTTAATCAGAATTCCATGTGGTTTTAAATATTTAAATTATCCTGAGACGAAAACATGCTATCAGATGAACATGATCAAATGTCAAAGAAAAAAATTTCACTGTACATTTTTTCTATTATTATTTTGTTTGATTACCATGTGTTTTGGAACAAATGTAACAGTTTTCAGCACTGCACTTAAGTATGTGGAGTATGAGAGACTTAGCAGTGCCCACAGTGCAGCTGCAAGAAGAATGCATGTTTCTGTTGGGGTGGGTTTTTTGTTTTTTGTTTTTTTTTTTTGTTTTTCTAAGACAATGACTTGTTGATGCAGTGGTATATAACAAATAGGGCACTGTGGGAATACAGACTAACATATGTGAGGCAGGTTTTTTCTCATTCATCAGCTAATTCTGGTCTGAGCAGATTTTCATTCTGCAGGCAGGCAGATGCCCTCCCAGAACACTGGAGTCTGAATACAGAATTTATCACAGAATCACAGAACGTTAGGGGTTGGAAGGGACCTCTGTGGGTCATGTAGCCCAACCCCCCTGCCGAAGCAGGGTCACCCAGAGCAGGCTGCACAGGACCTCGTCCAGGTGGGTTTGAATATCTGCAGAGAAGGAGAATCCACAGCCTCCCCGGGCAACCTGTTCCAGTGCTCCGTCACCCTCAGAGTGAAGAAGTTCTTCCTCATGTTCAGCTGGAACTTCCTCTGCTTCAGTTTGTGCCCATTGCCCCTTGTCCTGTTGCTGGGCACCATTGAAAAGAGTCTGGCCCCATCCTTCTAACACCCACCCAGGATTTTGTATCCTTAAAGTTATCCTTCGGGTACCAAGATGGCAGCACGTCAAACTACATGGTGCTTATAAAATGTCTTTCATCCAAAAATCTCTGGGTCCTTTTGTAAACATGCATTAAACGACTTGACGTTCTTGTGAGATGTAAGGCAGGCTTCGTTACAGCTCATTAGTGGCTGGGGGAGCCAGGGCACAAAACATGTTGGGAGATTTTTCCCTAGGATATGTGGGCCGATGGCAGAGCAGCGAAGAGTCCCCAGTGCCAGCTCCAGCCAGAAGATGAGATGCTTTGGTTGGAGACCTGTGGCTGTTCACATTCAGGGAGCTGGACAATCATTTTCCTAGAGGCAAATCTTTGGCAAGGTTACAAACTGGATGTTGATGCCTCAGTGTGTGATTGTTCCCCTTTTTCCCCTGTTCCACGGTGTGATGGAAGAACGTCTTACACAGCTTATTCCAGGGGTTGAAATGCCATGGTGCATCAGGCCTGGACAGACCAGGGAGCACACTTCAGACACTGAACAAACCGAGGGCTGCGAATCACCATTTGACCAAAAGAAAGGTGTGCACCTGCAGGGTAAGAGCTTTGTTGTCCCAACTTACTATTTACTATTTAAATCGGCAAAATCAGGGAGACAGAACATAGTGTAAAGGTGTTTATGTCTGTGCTGGCCCCACCTTTGATCCCATGGAGTTAGATTACACTACCCTATTCTTTCTTCCCCTCAGGATAAGGACTGGTTCCTTGATTCAGCTCTCTACTTTTCTCTTCCCACCCACACATCCATGAAGATAAAACCATTCCCTATAGCAGACTGGGACTTGAGTCAAAAACTAATTATAAACAATGATGGCCCAACAGCTCTTTTCAGTTTGTGGTTCTATGAATTTGATGCAAACTATTTGGCTTCAGATCCCCTCCTGGTAATT